ATAGTATAATTCTGATAGTAGAATTAATGTTCTCAATAGTAGATCAGCTTAAGATTTTAATACTAAGTAAATTAAAATTTCAATAATAAGTGAGTCATAATCTTAATAATAATCAAGTTTATAATTCAATAGTAATAAGTTTATAGTTTTGACAATAGTAGTTAGTAACCTTAATATTAGATAAAATTGTAATTTTAATAGTAAATAAAATAATTTAATTATATATTTCAATGGTTACAGTATTATTTTCTGAAAGTTATTTATCTAAAAAACTATTTATCTAATATCACTAGAGTAACAAATTGCTAAAAATATATACTGCGCTAATCAAATACTAACTCTAACTCTATATAATATCAAATAAGTAGCCAATTAAATAAATAGCTTTTAGAGAATTGAGCAACAATCATTTTAACAATGCAATTAATTTTTAAATTAATGCTGAATTTTAATTCATATATTAATTTAAAGAAATTGTTATTTTCACAATATAACTTGCTATTTTCACAATAATTACACAAAAATTTCTATTTTTAATAACCAATCAAAATTAAAAAATTAATTTTTTAAAATTAAAAAAATTTTTATTAAGTTGGAGCTTGTTAAGCTTCTAAATAAAGTTGTAAAAAATTTTTTTTCAGTTCTAATAAAATTAGATCATTAAAATCAACCTAGTAGATTCCAAAATATTTGAGATTAAAGATGCAAATATAATAATCTGCAAATTTTTTTTAGATGATTCTGCCTTTATTATTTATTATAGAAATACTAAAAAAAATATATTTCATAGCTAGTGATACTTGACTTAATCTTTTTGTACTATATTCTATTCTAATAAAGATTCACTTGACCAAAAGGCCCAGGTGCATTTGTCAAAGTAGCTATTTTGCTTCATATCAGATCCTCAACTTGCTAAGGATTTGATCTCTCTAATTCTTAGCTAAGGCTAATATTCTATATTAAGCAGCAAAAACAAAAAAGAAAAATTAACAAAAATAATACAAAGGTATAGAGGTCTAGATAAAAAAGGTACAAACAAGAAATAAAGAAGTTAAAGGAATAGTAAAGAAACAAAGAATAAAATTGCATAGCCTAATATCATAGTTATAAGTATATAAAAAGCTTGTAAAAATTATATACTACTAAATAAACTAGTTTCTACTCTAAATTTATCTATTTAGTATATCAAGTAAAAACTTTGTAAGAAAACTTCATCAACTAGACTTGCAGAGAGGTCAGATACCATCTTGAAGCATTGTTTATTTGAAGCATATACATATTACTGCACATGTATATTGTCGTCTATTCAATTTGAGAAGTAAACATTGCTGACTATTTTGAAACACATGTTGTCAATCTTTTGGAGAGAGTAAACTGAGACACCCACTTTTTACAAAAAATTTCCTCAAAAAAAAGTGGTGGGCCAATGAAAGACTAAAAGATTCTTTTGTAAGTTTTATAGTTATATATATATATTTACAGATTTTTACTATCTTGGAAAACTTGTTCCCAAAATAAACCTTCTGGTTTGAATAACAAATATCTTGCAGAGTCTACTAAAATCTAAATAGTTTGATATTAAGAAAACTATCTTCATAATATCCGCTTCTTGGTGTTTTATATTTTCAAGTTTCATTAACAACAATCTACTCAAATAGACTTGTTTTCAGAATAGCCTTTCTGGTTTAGATATTAAATATCATAGAGAGTCTACTGAAGACAGAAATAAAGCTTGACCTCAGGAAAAACTATCTATTTAATACCTGCTACTTGGTGTTTTACATCTTCTAGACTTTGTTAACAATAGTCTGCTTAAGTTAGAACTAAAAATAGTATCTGTCTTGGAAGTTTTTATATCATTTTTCTGTAGTTCAGTTTTAATTGTTGTTGACCAGAGGATCATTAGGAAGAGTTGTGAAAAAAATATAAGGATCTGCAAATTAGTAGTTATACAAAGTACTAAAACTATAATAATTTATATAACTTCAATTTGTAGATCATAAATATCTTGAAAACTATTAAACCAATTTTAATGATCTAATTACTATTACAGTTTGACAATTTATCAAATTAGGGCAATACAGATTACTCCTTTTTTAGTATAGAAATACTGATTAAAATATTTTAAATTACAAGAATTTTGTGTTATATAAAATACAAGATAAATAATAGCATAGTAGAAAATCTATTTGATTGGCTGATGATCATCCATTTTTTTAAATTATTTGATTGGCTGATAGTCATTTATTTTTTAATTGGCTAGTGCATAACTTAGTTTCTAACTAATAGAACGAACATATTGCTCTTGTGTAAAGACAATATCATGTCTGAAATTCAAATTTTAATTTAGTTGCGGGCTGCAACTAAATAAAAAACTTTACTTACAGATTATATAGATTTAGTTGTGCATATGAATGTATTTATATACAAATTCGAATATATATATATGCAAATTTACAAAATTTATTTGCGAAACCAGCATATACATTTCAAATTTTAGTTGCGAAAACTTATAAATCATTTGTGGTCTGTAAGCTCTGCAACCTAATTTCAGATATTAATCTACGTTTAAAACATATATATTATAAAGACTAGCATAATAATCTTTACAATAATAGGTTTAACGATTATAGTTAATAAATATATTGTAGTTTATATATTATAATACTTGTTGTACATATTACAAACATTTGTATAATATAATAAATCATGTAGTGCAAAACTAAATTAAACGCGTAAAACACATAAATACATTGTATTAAAATTTTTTACTGTACAATAAAATACCAAGACAAAAAACAAATAATGGTCCCTGTTCTGTTAAAAATTGTGATAAAGATCCAAATATTTTTCGAAGTTTAACTCAATTGGCTATGAGAAAAGCAAATGCTAATGGTACTATTCAATGGTATCTCTATTTACAGTTAGGTCAGCAAGTTTGTAACTCTCATTATATGTTTATTGTTGAAAATGAGCCAACTCATGAACATAAAGATAGTCCTACTCCAAATTTGTCAAATAAATTATCATTTGGGGATCGAATCAAAAAGATGACGACTGTGTTGTATCAAAGAAGAAAGAAAAGTCTCGTACTTGATCCAAAAGAGTTTAATCAAATTCTTGAAAGTGCAGATTCAGATCTAAAAGGTTTTTTTGCTGAAATGTGCAATATGTTAATACCAAATGATTATTCACCTTACAACCAAAATGAAGATAAAAAACAAATAGTCATAATTTTATATTTGATGGCTAGATTACGAAATAAACATGTTAATAGTTTCAAGTTAGAATTAGCCTTGTATCTCGCAAGATTAAAAATATCGTGCAATGCAATTAATGCGCTAAGTAATGCTAGAATTTCTGTTACTTACAAAACTATATAAAATTATTAAAAAAAGTTACCAATGAGTACTCAGTAAGAATAGAAAAGTATTTCAATAATAATAAAGAAAACCTATGTATTTATAATCTTGACGATTATTATAATATACATAAAAAGTGACAGCCCAATAATACTTTCTTCTCAGATGCCTTTCATTTTGTTACAAGCATATGTAAGAAAATCAAAGAATCTCTTCCAGTACCGATTATATTTAATGATGTACCCATTTATAACCCAAATAATATCAAAGCTTCGCTTATTTGTGAAAACTAATTCATAAATATCAACAATGCTTCAACTTATCATATATACAACAAAAATCTCAATAAAATAAATTTAACTTAGTCGAATTTGACAAAGTTGATCAGCTTACGGTATATTCGTATGATAATGCTATAATAGAACATAAAAAAAAATGCAAAATGAAAGATGCAATTTTAGTAAAGATGCAAAAACAGCAACTTCATTCTTTACAAGATTATATAAAAGCATTAAATATAATCCTAGATTATAATAAAAAGACAAATTATCTTACTGGTAAGGTGGTGCCCATTGTTGCAGATTGGCCACGTCAGCTTTTTATTCACAAGGCACTTACATATCTAAGTAACAGAAATAAAAATTCATTAGTGTAACCTGAAGTAATATCTTTTGTTCCTTTTCTTGGTCTATTACATGTTTCTTTTAACACAAGAGAACATATAGTAAAAGCCTATTATCTATTTTTTGAAAATCTGTTTCATACTGTATTTGGTAAAAAAAATCCTTGCAAAAAAAACCTAGACCGTAGAATAAACCTTTTATTAGACTTAGCATTCTCTGTGTGGATCAAAATTAAAAAAAATATAATGACAAAATTTATTTATCTACAAAAAAAATGTTGAATACCAGACCATTACTGACCTTTTGGATAACCTTATACTAGCAGCTATTGATATATATGCCTTACTATTTCGATCTAGATCATTCGATGATTACTTGGAAATAATCTTTCGTATTTGGACCTTCACTGGAAATAAAAAAATTACAATAAAGCACCTCTCGCATTTTTATCAGATATATTTTATTGGAAAAAGAATAAACACCCAATGAGAGAGGTAATAGAAAAGCATTTTAGACT